CAATAGAGAAATAGAAATAAAAAAAAAAATAGAAAAGACAACTAAAGAAAAAACAATTATGAATGAAAACTGATAAGAAAGAAAGAATTGGAGTAAGAAAAATGAGGTGAACAATTCTAAGTTCGATTACCATAATTTCAGAGCCAGGTTGAATTAGCCATTTGGTCAAACCGACCAAATGGTCGGTTTGACCAAATCAGGTATAAATTAATCATATTTTGGCGGTTTTTTCAGGTATAAATTAGTCATATTTTGGCGGTTTTTTCAGGTATAAATTAGTCATATTTTGACGGTTTTTTCAGGTATAAATTAGTCATATTTTGGCGGTTTTTTCAGGTATAAATTAGTCATATTTTGGTCGGTTTATCCTCTATAATACGTCACAGATACGGTGAGGTTTAGTGACACTGTCGCAGTTCAAAACTAAACAAAAACACACCCATACATCTTGCCTTTCTTTATTGTACATATCGTGTGGGTGTTTGTATAAGTGTGAGGCCTCAATACCTCCGTAAGCATGTCTGTCTTGTGTGGGTGAGAAATGTGTGTAGGTTTTTATTTGTAGGGTTATATATTAATACTATCTATATTGTTAAGGTTATGGTTAACCCCGGCTGGATAGTGTGTTTTTAAACATTGTATCCACTTATTTTCATGGAACTCTAAAATCTTTCTAATGTTATCTGCTCTGAACTTTTCTATTCTCTCACTTATAGTGAATTTGGCATGGGTTTTGAAATCGTGTTTTTCTCGGCGGAAATGTTGTTCTACAGGTAATAATTTTTCATGGGGAGTCGACTTAATTCGATTGCGATAATTCTGTTGTGAAAGGGCCATTCAGATTTTCCTACATATTGTTTCTGGCATAGTGTGCATTCTAGGAGGTAAATTATGTTATGACTTCTACAGTTAGAATAGTGGTAGATTTATATATATATATATATATATATATATATGTGTGTGTGTGTGTGTGTGTGTGTGTGTGTGTGTGTCGATGAAGTCTTAAATGACGAAATGCGTCACTAGAAACATTTTTTCACTTTTAAAAGGATTTTTTTCTTTATGTAGCCGATTTCGTTGAGATTCTTTTTCTCTCCATCACTTTTGTTAGTCGACCTCTCACACTGTGATAAAAGAAGATCTGCCAGGAATGGTGAAATGTCGTAAGAGCCAGGATGCAAATTTAATCCAGATAAACTTGCGATTATCACTCTCTAAACATATATATATATATATTTGAACTTCATTTCAATTCTTCATGACTTTCCGATCCTTTTCTATGATTAATTAATGATGAACATGTCATTTTCATTTATGATCGATTTCATCTCGATTATTCTATTAAGTTTGGAATGTAATTATACTTTCTTATTGCTTAAATTAGAGTCCAACAGGGTTATAAAAACCTCGGAGAATTCCAGTAAGATATTTTAAAGCATTTCTAAGATAAAAATTGGTTATATCTATATATATATATATATATATATATATATATATATATATATGTATGTACGAAGGTAAGTCGAAAATTATCCGAACTTTCGCCATAAAATATCTTTAGCTTTGTCACACAGCCTTCTGCTCATGTGTATCGTTTGTATTATATATATATATATAGTCAAACCTAGTGAACCAGAGAAACCTACCCAGGTTTCACCTAAGCGGATCGTCAGGGATTTTTTTCGACAGACTTTCATGTTCCTGGCTCTATTTTTTTTAAACCTTTTTTTCCTTGGAGATTGATTTGATTATTGGCAAATCAAAAATTCGAAGATTTTTTCGAGACGAGTATAGTTGCCTATATATATATATATATATATATATATATATATATATATATATATATAGGGAGAGAGATAGATATGAACAGACTGAGGTAGCTAGATAGATATTAACAGATTAAGATAGATAGATAGATAGATACGAACAGCTTGATATATATATATATATATATATATATATATATAGAGAGAGAGAGAGAGAGAGAATTACAGTCGAATCTATTACATTCGCTTATTTTATTTTTTTAATTTTTTATTTTTTAATCTAGCCGATTTCATTTAGATTCTTTTTTTCTTTCCATCATTTTTGTTTGTCGAGCTCTCACACTGTGATAAAAGAAGATCTGTCAGGAATAGTGAAATGTTGTAAGAGCCCAGGTGAAAATCTACAGCAGGTGACCTTTCAATGAAGTCATTCTCTAGTCTTTTTCGTCGGAGTAAATTGTTTTATCCTTTATGTCAAAATTGTGGTCTATCTTGTTCTGCTGGGTAACCAACTCATTTGATGTATTGTTTTGTAAAATGTTCCTTTTGTGTTCATATAATATTTTCTTTAGATTCCTTCAGGTTTTTCTTGCCCCCAAATTCCTTCGTTCGTACGCATATTTAGTCGCACCAACATAATAAATTTATGAATGAACCTAATGCCTCATAATAAAACTTTTTCCACTTAGTCATACATTTTCCCCTATATTGTTCTTGATATAAAAATATATATATCTTTATCCCATATATATATATATATATATATATATATATATATATATATATATATATACATGAATTATTCACACAAAAACTAATGCAAAGGTTAATGATTTAAATGGCGAGACATCCATCATCGCAAACAATTCAAATAATATACAAAAACCTCCGAATCCGTTATGAATGAAATGACCCTTGTTTATATAAATTTCTGCCGTATTAGTTCTTATTTTTACTACAAGCTTTGGTCTGTTCCTACAGACATCTTCAGGTATAGAATAGATGTTGTTCTTGTTTTTTCTCTTAGTAATAAGAGGACAACGAAAATATATGTATTGTTGTATCCGAAAATGCTATTGAAAATGAGTTATTGTATATACAGGTTCGGGGTTGGTGTATTTTATTGATATTGTTTGCGAAGATGTATTCTCGCCATTTAAATCATTAATCTCTATATTTGTTTTTGTATGAATGATTCATGTAACTATATATATATATATATATATATATATATATATATATATATATATATATATATATATTGTGTATTTGGGCAGCAATCTCTCTTTTATGCAGTGACTGACATGGTGTGGTGATTGAGTTTTGTTTATATAAATTCTCACGTGTCCGTATATTTTTTTCCATTTCAGGGCATAAATTATATAAAAAATTGTCTGAATGCTTTCCAAACGATTTTGTATATACTCTTAGCTATTATCAAGCATGAATTTTATTTTACTTTTAACTAAATATATGCATTGTTTTATTTATGAATCTAGAATTATAGGAATGTTTTATTTTGCAAACATGGTCAGTACATTGTGCCCGTGTTCATAATTAATATTATTGAATGTTGGGTTTTTCTTTTTTTATTAATAATGTTTCCATTATTTTTATCCTTTTTGTATTGTAGACGACCTATTATATATATATATATATATATATATATATATATATATATATTAATGTTCCTGGTTTGGAATACTTAATCTTTGGTGATTACAGGTGTCAGGGCTTATTAGAAAACCTCATCGACGCTTTCGATCAAATTTAGTCATATTTTGATCGGTTTATCAAGTATAAATTAGTCATATTTTGGCGGTTTTTTCAGGTATAAATTAGTCATATTTTGGTCAGTTTATCAGGTATAAATTAGTCATATTTTATCCATATTAAGAGACGCTCAGACTAAAAGTCTTATACAAATAATTTTAGTCAAAGGAAAAGAAAAGGAGAACAACAGAACTATTGGAGAGGAAAGAAAGAGAGTGATAGAGAGTGAGTTAGTAAGTGAGTGAGTGAGAGAGAAATTGAGAGAGAGATAGATAGAGTAGAGAAAGAATGAGTGAGAGATAGATAGAGAGTGTTTGAGAGAAAGAGTGTGATAGAGAGTGATCGAATGAGTGAGAGAGAGATAAAGAGAGTAAGAAAATCAAAGTAAGCAGAAATGAGCGTGACAGGAGGAGAAAGAATGTAATAAATCTAGAAGAGATTTGAAAGAAAGAAATAAAGGAAGGAAGGAAGGAAGATGAAGTAGAAAGAAAGAAAGAAAGAAAGAAATAAAGAAAGAAAGAAAGGAAGAAAATGAAAGCAAGAGAAAAGTAAAATAACAGTAAAATAAAAAAAAAGGGAAAAACAAAGGAAAAGGAAAATCAAATAAAAACTAAGCGAGCAAGAAAGAAAGATAAACAAATGAAAGCAAAGAAAACAGAAAAGCAAAAAATTAAAAGAAAAATAATGAAAAAAACAAAGAAAAAGATTCAAAAAGAAAAAAGAAAGTAAGAAAAATGAAATAAGAATGAAAGAAAGAAAAATGGAAACAGAAAAAAAATGAAAGAAAAGCAAAAACGAATGAAATTAGAAAAAAAAGAAGAAAAAAAAGAAGAAAGGAAAAGAAGAAAAAAAAGAAGAAAGGAAAAGAAGAAAAGAAAAGAAGAAAGGAAAAGAAGAAAAAAAAAGAAGAAAGGAAAAGAAGAAAAAAAAAAGAAGAAAGGAAAAGAAAAGAAAAAAAAACTCATTAAATGAGAAACCGGACAGCAAAATAATGGACGTCTAGAACAATTGAGATATTGACTGACGGAGAGGGTGGTGCGTTTAGTGGGGGGGGGATAGAGAGTAAAAAATGAGAGTAGGGTGTAATTAAAAGTAGTTTGAACGTCGGGGGGTAGTTGCGCCACCTATCACAGTAACGTCAAATCATAAAAATAGAAAAATTTATTTTCTTGCACGCTACGCTGCGGCTCCAACGGCTTTTCGACAAGGATAATAGAAATAATAACGAAACTTAAATAGTTCAAATACAAACAAAATTAATCAGATAACAACAATAACATTAATATGACTGTCAATAATAACAATAGTAATAATCATATACTAGTTCTACTTAATCTTGGGTTCCTTGGTTAGTTAGTTATTTAGTTAGCAGGTACGTTCATTCCGCAACACAATAGAAACCACCTTCGATATTGGAAAGGGCCATTACAGCTATTGGTGCCCCCAAAATTAAGAAATCAGAGGAGGGGTATATTGTGGTGGGAACTGAAGAATCAAGCCCTTCAACAAAAAAAAATCACTCAGTCTCCATATAGGTGCGATGATACATTGTCGTCCACATGATGGCAAAATGAAAATAACGCTGGCGTCTCGTTTTAACAGATACGCAGCGCGCGATGGATAAATTGTCGTCTAAACGGCGCCGAAACGAAAATAACACTGACATCTCATTTTAACAGATACGCAGGGTGCGATGGATAAATTGTCATCTAAATGGCGCCAAAATAAAAATAACACTGACATCTCATTTTAACAGATACGCAGGGTGCGATGGATAAATTGTCTTCTAGATGACTCAAAAATAAAAAAAATAACACTGGCATCTCATTTTAACATACAGGGTGCGATGGATAAGTTGTTGTTCAAATGGCGCCAAAATGAAAATAACAGTGACATCTCATTTTAACAGATACGCTGGGTGCGATGGATAAATTGTCTTCTAGATGACTCAAAAATAAAAAAAATAACACTGGCATCTCATTTTAACATACAGGGTGCGATGGATAAGTTGTTGTTCAAATGGCGCCAAAATGAAAATAACACTGACATTTCATTTTAACAGAGATGCATGGTGTGATGGATAAATTGTCTTCTAGATGACGCCAAAATGAAAATAACACTGACATCTCATTTTAACAGAGATGCACGGTGCGATGGATAAATTGACGTCCAAATGGCGCCAAAATGAAAGTAACACTGACATCTCATATTAACAGATATGTTTACCAAAATTACACAAACATATCCTGAAATACTAAAGAGTAAATTCATTCAATAAGATTCCATTCGAAATCTCCCGTAACTCTTCTGGGTGGTCTCTTTGTTTAAGTTGGTGAATGCTGCCATAATTATTGTCTTCACATCTTTGGTGTTTGGTGTTACAAGGACTTTTGTTGGTCTCTCACTCAACTGCACCCCACAAAATAATCAGGGGTGTTGCAGTCTGGAGAGTTGTGACCAGATGTAAAGGTTGATGTGGTCGCTGAAATTACCGGAAAGCCATAACTGGGTCCTCCTGTTTGTGTGGCATGGTGCAGCGGCCTGTTGCCAGACATAGTGCCTTCCAGCAACCACCCTTCTATTCCGAGATAGCACTACCCTATCAAGACAATGTAGGCGTCCGTGTTCAGTCTGAGGTCCCCACCAACAAATTCGAGAGTTATTTTCTTATCAGAACGATCAGAGTGAGTTTTCCGAGGTGCCGTACCTTCGTAATCATCATTAGACTCATCCAACTCTTTCTGAATTCTTTGCACTGTCCTCAGATTGATACTCAAGCACTATGAAATGTTCGTATTGGAGCTTCAGCGCGAATAACAAGCAGTACAGCATGCTGGTTCTAATTTTCTGCAACAGTGAATTGCGTCATGGTGCTTTTTTTCTCACAGAAGGAACCCACCTAACCCTACTCTACTGTGCATTCGACAAAATCAAAAACAATCAACGCGCATGCGCGAAATTAAAAATATAAAATGGCGACAATTTACCCATGGCACCATGTACAAGGCCCGGAAATAAACCCACATCAATACTGGAAAGAGTGATAACAGCTACTGGACTTGAGAAACCTATTTTCCTAAAATGTATTTTAAGAGAAAGATTTTATAAATTTGAAACGCGAATAGCTTCTCGGTCAATGAATGCCAAATGTTTCCTTATAGGGAAACGGCTAATATTGTCATGACAATTACCAATTTGCCCTGCTATTAGCCAAATAAATAATGGACTATTCCGTTTTGATCACGAGGAAAGACAGAAAAAGCCATATAACAGGCTGTTTTCTTAGTGAGAAAAAGAAAAAAAAGAAATAGAGAAAGATAGATCTTTCATTTTTTTATGTCTTCCATTCAGAAAGAAAAGGAAAATAAAATGGATGATAACTTTCATATGTGTTTAATGTCTACTTCTTCTGTGTGCTGCCTACCTTTCCGAACATTTTTTTAATCATATCATGCCAAGCAAAACTAAAGCCACAAAGAAGCGAGTGAAAGAATAAGAAGAAAAGAGAAACATTATTAAGGAACACGAACAATAGAAGAGTAATCAAGAAGACAGTAGATAAGGATTGACATTGCACTTAAATGTTTGAAGATTAAAGTTGGCTGGAAAGCATCGAGCCGGAAGAGAGTACCATCAACGATAAGTGCCAGAAAAGAAACTGTGAGCATAGAACTTCCGGTTACATCTAGCCAATTCAACTGTGAATTAATGAAACCCTGACGCCAATCTAGTGTTGTGCTTAAATTCATAAAGTCTAGGTTCGTTTTAACCCCAAAGTCCGACGAGACTGTAAAGAAAAAGAATGATGCAGCTTTCTCTAGGAGAACAGAATAAGAAGGGCAATATTTACAATTAGAATGATATCAGTGAGAGAGAGAGAGAGAATGAGAGAGTGGGAGAGAGTGAGAGAAGGAGAGAGTAGGGGAATGAGAGAGTGAGTGAGAGAGAATGAGAGAGAGTGAGAGAGAGTGTGAGAGAGAGTAAGAGAGAGAGTGAGATAGAGTGAGAGAGAGTGAGAGAATGAGTGAGAGAGTGAGAAAGAGAGAGAGTGAGAGAGAGAGAGTGATTGAGAGAATGACAGAGAGTGAGAGAGAGAATGAGAGAGTGAGTGAGAGAGAGAGTGAGAGAGAGAATGAGAGAGAGTGAGAGAGTGAGATAGTGAGAGAGAGTGAGAGAGTGAGAGAGAGTGAGAGAATGAGTGAGAGAGTGAGAGAGAGAGTGAGAGTGAGAGAGAGCAATACAAATGCAGAAGGATGTGCAGTTATGTTTTATAGATTACATCAAGCATTTGACAAAAATTTATAATCAATTTCACACCAAGCAAGGCAGTAAAGCCACTAAGATACAAGGGGTTACTGAGTTGGAAAGAATAAGAAAAAAGAGAAACATTATTTTTTTCCTAATGTTCACTCAATGCAAGCCCTAAGAGCCACTCAATTAGAGGGTGTGTGAAGCTGTATTAGCGTAAGTGAGGGCAAGATATCAGGAAAGTTACAAAGATAATTCTAGACTTGCAGAAGTCAAGATTTAAAAGGAACAATAGAAGAGTAATCAAGAAGGCAGTAGATAAAGATTGACATTGCACTTAATTTTTTTAAGATTAAAGTTTTCTGGAAAAGCATCGAGCCGGAAGAGAGTAACATCATAGAAAAGTGCCAGAAAAGAAACTGTTAGCATAGAACTTACGGTTGCATCTAGCCAATTCAACTGTGAATTAATGAAATCCTGCCGCCAATCTAGTGTTGTGCTTAAATTCACCAGTCTATATGTGGCAGTAATATACAAACCATGGACGAATGGTAGACTTATAAATATGTAAGATAGATTCAAGAGAGAAAAATTGTCTAGCACGATACAGTTAACCAATTTTCGTAGTAGCAGAGCTAGCAATTGATTCAATATAATCTTTCCACTTCATTTCAACCGACAATGTAAGCTTGAGAATGCGCAATGAGTCACTTTCCTGGAGGTTAGTATCAGCCATACTGATGGGAGGTAGGAAGTAGTCTTTCAGGTGATTGACAGAGAGAAGTTTCGTTTTGATGGTGTTAAAATTAACAAGCCATTCCATGCCCCAGTTAACAACAGACGTTAGTTCATTTTTGAGATCAGCAGCCGGTTTGACCTTATCGAACTGATCAGACTTATTATCGAGGCAAGGATAAACGGTTATGTCATCAGCAATCATACCAAGTTGATAAATGATATTATCAGGAAGGTCATTTCTGAGAATTAATAACAAAGTAGAACCAAGAATAGAACCCTGGCGGACACCTACATTAGTAAAAATAAAGAAAGATCTGGAACAGTGGTCGTTTAGGAAAACGTTCATTTCGCAAAGAAAGACTGAATCAGTTCAATAGTTCGCCCGGACATACCATAACTTTTCAACTTGTAATGAAGAATTGTATACCAAATCCTGTCGAACGTTTTCAAGATATTCAAAGCAACAACCCGAAATTCACCATTCTTATCTAAAGCTTAATAGATTCTTCCAGCAATAAACATTAATTAAAACATTAGAAGTTGACCTTGAGAAGCGAAAGCCATATTGCTTGTTTTAAAGAAGACGTAGCGATGCGACATGCTTAACCAATTCAGACTTAATTAGATTCTCTAGTCGTCTGCCTAAAGGCGGTTAAAGGCTAATATACCGATAATTCGATGGGTGAGACGGTTCACCTAAGTTCTTAAAAACTGGAACAACAGAGTAGGATTTCCAACAGGAATGCAAGAAGCAGCGAGGCATTTATTGTACAGTTTAGAGAGAACAGGAGCCAGTTCGGGAGCACATTTTAACGGCTGTTACAAAGATATCATCAGATCCATATGCTTTGTGGGGATCCAGATGATAGCAGAAACCATGGAAGGAGTTATGTGCATATAACTCATCAGAGACTCAGTTCTAAGAGGGAAGTCAAACAAAGATACTTTGGATGAATCAAGAGTAGAGTTTGAGGAGAAT